CGCTGTAGACTCCTAAGCAATTCAGTCGGTTAACATTCTTATGTTGCTTCGACGGTCTGGTGAAGAGTGGTGTCTTTTCTTTTTTTACCACCTTGATATTACATTTTATTAGCAACAGTCGCAATTCCGGGCTCAGTTCACGAGAGGGCAAGCGCATCCACTTTTGGTCTTCCTCACGATTCCTCAACTTAAATTCATAAAATCCGGTTGAATTCTGATCTTTATGACGAATAAACTCATTTATATACGTTCTCTTTGGTACCCGTTACTAAGCCAAATCTAAATAAGTCTTTCAAACTCCTCTTTCCAGAACTCAGTGCCTGTTGTTCTTAAACATTTGCTGGTCATACTCCTCATTATTCTGATCTTCAGTCTGTAGTTATGATGGGTCCGGAAATTGAGGATTATTCCCGCATATGATTTTTTTCTGGATAGTCTCCTCTTGAGTAATCCGTTGGAGCGAACGACCTCAATATCTACAACGGAAAGTCATTTATCCTCCTTCACCTCCATCGTAAATTTAATTTTTCCATCGAATTGGTTTACTAAATTGACAAATTCATCCTTATTTTTATTATCCGTAACGAGCTGCTACACTCGAAATTAGGGATGAGATAGCAAACCTATTCTCATTCCCTTTTGATTAGGAAACGATGGATCTCCTGAAAAAAGGGTTAAATTTTTCCCTCAATAACGAAAGGAACATTTAGGAAGATTTTGTTTTAAAGTTTTGGAACATCTCGGAGAAATTTCCAGAACATATTAAACGAGAGCTGTAAATGGAATTAATCCAGAAAATCCTGTCCCATCAGAAGTCAACGGAAAGGAGTGGACTGATGAAGATACGTAGAAAATTACAAATAATTGAACAAATAGTTCTCGGGCAGACAAGGGAGGTGCGGCGGTGAATATGCACACACAACAGAAAGTGGCCTAGGCGATCGGAAAACTTATCAAATAATAAGAAAGGATCCAATACTGAAGATGAGTAGAACAGGGAAGGAAATGTCATAGAAAAGGCATAGCAACAGCGAAATCGAGAGACGAATAATGCATTCGTTAATATAAAATGAATCAAGACCACCGACAAGATACGGACAGAAATGAAGGAAATCCGCTAAGATTAAGAAGCAACCAATTGCATGCACTAACACACAAACAAGATGAAATTATATGCTTGAAGATTAAGAAAGTAAAGCATGGTGACAAGACTATATTAATTTTCTCAAATTATCTAAAATATTGGACTGGAAAGTACAGAAATGTTGGTAGATTTTGACGCTCAATCAAGACGCACAAACATCAGAGGCGAGAAAGTAGTCACCGCCCTGCTGAAGGCTTTGTAACAAGATCGGATACGAAAGGAGTTGTTAACGCGACTACTCAAACATACAATAAGTACTACTTAATTGGCATTCAACAGCATTAAATATGGGTAAATATTTGTATTACTGATGGGACCTCCACTCTCGTCTCTTTTGGCAAATGTATGCAGGAACGGAATTCGAGAAGTCAATTTTATATACCAATTTGATGGAATAATTAAATTGACGAGGAGAATAAACAACTATCCTACGTGGATATTGGGGTAGTTCGCTCCGACGGATTACTCAAGAGGAGACTATCCAGAAAGAAATCAGATGTGGGAATAATCTTCAACTTCCATAGTTATCACAACTATGTACTTCAGATAGGAATAATGAGGAGTATGATCGGCAAAATGTTTAAGAACAACGGGTACTGAGATCTGGAAAGAGGAGTTTGAGAGACTTACTCGGATTTGCCTTCGTAACGTGTACCAAAGAGAACGTATAGAAATGAGTTTATTCGTCATAAAGATCAGAATTCAACCGGATTTTATGAATGTAAGATCAAGAATCGTGAGGAAGATCAAAAGTAAATGTGCCTGCCCTCTCGTCAACTGAGCTCAAAATTGCAACCGTTGCTAATAAAATGTCATATCGTGGTGGTAACAAAAGAAAAGACAACATTCTTCACAAGACCGTCGACGCAGACCACGAGAATGTTAACCAACTGGATTGCTTGGGAGTCTACAGCATCAAATACTGCAACTGTGAGCAGGAGCATATTCGCGAAAAAAAGGAAGAAAGATTGGCCTACGCATCAATCAACTGCAAAGACTCAGCAGAAGCTTGGCCATTTAAGAGTCGAAATAGCCGAACACGCTGCACGAATCTATTGAAAATCGACAGAAAGGCTGGTGGAAAAACAAGAAAAATGTAAAATACAAGAAGCAATTGATGTCCTTATTGAAAGAAACCGAATGAACAGAAGACTTGAAAAAGGCAGGATTGGCGAAAACTTTGCATGCTGCCTAAACAATAAGCGCAATTTCTTTCTTA